AAGAAAGGAGATGAAACAAATTAAGAATTGAGTGTTCCTTTCCATAGACCAGTCAAAATGTACAGTAAAAGTTGCCCAAGCCATCCTGCTTACACACATAGATAAAGCTCTTTCCTCCACTCCATCTCATGTTCTTCTCTTCAACTCAGTAACTCTTTTCTTTTGAATCATTTCAATCCCTTTTCCTGTATCTATTGTACCCTTTGGATTTCATTTTTCTCTTTCACGTTTCACACTGAGACAATAGGATGTTTTCAAATGTGAGTCTGATTTATTTCACATAAGATTATGTTCTGTAGTTGCATCCATTTACCAAGACTCAAATTTATCCTGCTTTATATCTGAATAATACTCCAATGTGTAAACATAACACATCTTCTTTATTCATTTTTCACTTGATGGACATCTGGGTTGTCTCCAGGATTTAGCTATGACAAATGGCACTGCTATAAACATGCATGGCCATATTCCTCTGTGGTATGAGGTTTTCAATTCTTCTGGGAAAATACTGGATTGAGTAGGATCTCCAGTTCCACCTTTTGAAGCAAACTCCACATGGATTTCCATAGGGGTTGTACCAGTCTGCACTCCTACCACAGTGCAGAAGAGTTCCTTTTGTCCCACAGTCTCTCCAGAAATTTTATTGGCTGACTTCTTGATATTACCCATGCTTTCTGGAGTGAGATGGAATCTCAATGTTGTTTTAATTTGTATTTTTCAAATGACCCATGATATTGAACAGTTTTTCATATATTTATATGCCATTTTTATTTCTTCTTCTAAGAAGTGTATATTCATCTTAGATGCCCAAATTTGGGTCTTTGAATTTGGAGGGGGCTGACTTTTTAAAAATTCTTCATATGTTCTAAATAGAAGGCCTTTGTCAGAGGGACAGTTGGTTATAATATTTTTCCCAATTCGTGGGTTTTCTTTTTACTCTGTTGGGGATTTCTTTGAAGTGCAGAAACTTTTCAAAAAGATGAGATACCAGTTGTTGATTCTTTGGGGTATTTCCCATGCAGTTTGTTTTTTGTTTATGAACTCTACCTACCCCTATGTTTTTAAGATTTCTATATTCATTTTCCTCCAGATCTAGTGTTTCTATTTTGATATTTAAATATTTGATCCATTTTGATCTTAACTTTGTGCCTGGTGATAGGTATGGGTCTAGTTTTAGCCTTCAGCTTGTGGAAAGTGAGTTTCTCCAGCATGATGTATTAAGGAGGCTGTCCTTATTCCAATTCACATGTGTGGTCCCTTTATCAAAAATATAGTGACTGCGTGTGTTTGCAGCTATGTCTGCACCTTCTGATCTGTTCCATTCACCTTCAGCTCTGTCTCTAGGCCAGTACCATGCTGATTTTATCACAGTAACTTTACAGTATAATTTCAGGTTAGGGATTGTGATACCTCCTGCCTTTCCTTTGTTTGTCAGGACTGCTTATGATATTCTGGGTGTCGTTGGGTTCCAAATAAATATTAGGAACTTTTTTTTCTAGTTCTGTGAGATATACTAATTGTATTTTGAGTAGCATTGTATTGCATCTCTATAACAATTTTGGAAATATGGCCATTTTCATAATGGCTCTTCACCCTATTTTTTTCAAAATCGTTGCTTTTGTAAATTATTCTAAGGTTATAGATATAAATTAATGCTCTCATCCTATCTTATATAGGATAGATTTATTCTTTATTTTAATGTATTTAGCAAATATTTTTAAATTCAATGCAAATTACTTAATATTTATAGTAAGTTTTATATTATTTAATAAGTATTTAACCAATATATAAAAGGTATTTGCAAATTCTTATTTGCAAGGTCAAATTTTGTATTTTGAAAATTTGTCTTTAACCTCTCTGAATTTCTACTTGATGTAAAACATGAATTCTGTTTCATCTTTCTTCTTATTTGACAAGTTTTCTATTTTTATGTGTCTGTAGTGGATTTCTAAGTGGTGGTCAACTTGCTACACTCAGCTGAATTAAACTATCATGGTATTGAGTTCAGAAGTTCTCCCTGAGGTTTGTTGCCCTCAGAATGAAGGCAGAACAAGAGAAGCTGCTGAAAACACTGCTAGGGATGCTGTTTGGAAATGCTGTTGGAACTGTTGAAAGCTGCTAATTCTCTTGGGCTGTTTCTCTAGAGGACCTTGTCATGATGGCTTTCCCTATGAACTTTGGAGATGCTTGGGCCTCATCTGAACATTGCTTCCTGCCTCTGGAGGGGAAGGTGATACACTGTTCAGCATCATGAAGAAGCTTGTCGCGTTGGTGTTCCTGGTGGGAACCCAGGTTTCCTCATCAATGGAGAAGTTCAGGACCTCACTGTTACTGAGGCTGGCTGCGATACTTTTTGGGGATCTCTGGTGCTTACCCTGAGTGTTGCTTCTTAGCTCCATTTCAGATCCCTCAGCCTGCTAGCACAGATCCTTCATCCCACTGGCATAGACTTACTAGATTCTACTACTGACCTTTGAGGCTTTCCAGCACAGATTCATGAAGCAAACCTGCATGAGACATTGTTGTATGCTCTAGGCCTCCATTTGGACTTGTGGGAGGCATGGTTATGAGCACTAGGTTTTTATGTGGACACATGTTAATATCAGGATCCAGGCCTGTAGCAGTCGGTACATTGTGCAGAGTCTTTAGTATTTAGTGTGTAGATAGATTTCCTGTACTTGTCTGTGGTTCTTGGGTGATTCTTTATAAACTAATATAAACTTTGTCCTGTATTATATCATTCCCCTTGCAAAAAACCCAACCATGACAGTATCAAAAATTACTTATTGTTGTATTTCACATTAACCTATCATACATTTTATGAGCAACTAAAAGAGTGGAACGTAAAGGCTCCAAAGTAATGATGTGGAGATTGAATAATACTTTTATGCATTTGAAAAGTTTTCACTGTAAACGTGTTGAAATTTGATTCTCTATCTCTTAAATATGTAAAATTAAAGATTTGATGTATTTTCAAGTAGTGAAAACTACTATAAAATTTCAAATTCTTTAAATATAAACAATATCTTATTTCTATCCCAAAACAAGTAATATAAGGAGAGTGAAAAATAATACGCAAGAAAAATAGATGAGAATTGCAAAGGTAAAGTATAAAAAGCACTCATAGTGTTGAATTATTTTTTCATGAAATATATTCAGGATTTATTTGGTTATGATTGTATGGTAAAAGATTTACATTTGTTTAAAGAGCATTAAGAAATTACTAAGTTTCCAAAACTCTAAATATTTTTCAATTTTTCAAACAATCTAATAAATAATTATTATGCTTTCTATATACCTGACAATAAATAAAATACAAAAGTGCTTAATCTGAATATAACTAATGTTTCTTAATTGTCTACTGAAAACTTGAATGAGCAGTTATGGAGTTTATAGCATCTAATTATTTTGGTCAATGATGAACAAATAAATAAGTTGGTGTGTAACATTTTTTACTTATAATAAATGCTAAGAAAAAAGTTTTACTAAAATATTTGAAGGCCAGTGAGATAGCTCAGTGGACTACAGTGCCTGCTTAGGCAATCTTAGTCAAGTGCAGAGACTGCAGTTCAATCCCTGGTACCACATGCCATGCCAGCTCCACCCTTACAGGCTCAGGTAGGCTGAGCCTGTCAGAGTCAAGGTGTAGGAGCTCTGGCCTATAATCTCAGGGCTAGAGAGTCTGAAAACAGGAGGATCACTATGAGTCTGAGCTGCATAGTGAGACCCTGTAACAACCAAATACTTTTAAAAAAGAAAATATTTGAGACATTACCTCAGCAGGCCTCTGAGGAATGAGCTGCATGACTGGCAGCCAGTGGAGCCTAGAAGTCCACTTGGAGAGGGCTCAGCTGGAAGGAGCCAAACACAGCAATCAGACCTAAGCCAGGTCCAGCCAGACTAGTTTAAACTCAGTAGATCTAGACTTGGTGTGCTGAATTGTACTGTTGGACCCAGCCAAGCTCAGATGAGGCCCAGACCTATAGGAGCAGCACAGAGGTGGCAGCAGGTAACTGGGGTGAGCTAGTCTGAATTGAAGACACTGGGTACATGAAGGAAGGTAATCAAACAGAACTCAGGGGAGCTAATTTAAAAACAAATTCCCAGTTTATTATTTGTTTTGTTATACAATTAGGTTTACTCCTACAGTCTGAAGTACACACCAATTATTTACAAAAATTTGTTAATTTCTAAAGTTCAAAAGCTGTTATTAGCATTGCTAATTATACTACTGTAAATAAGAAACCATATCTGCCTTAACCACATATTCTGCCTTGGATAATACTATCAGCAGATGCTTGGAGAATAACCTTACAAAAGCCCTACACTGAAGAAGAGGACATTGTCAACTGGAAACCAATATTTCACCCTCAAACAATAGAGAAGGCAAAATCTTGGGACACACACAAAATAAGAATCTCTGAAACAGGAGAAATACCTAAAAGACAGCCTCTTTATAGAGATGCTCTGACTGTAGTGACACAGCTATCTACTATCAAACTATCCCAAAAAGATATCACAGTAATCAAAATAAAGAGTTTTCTATGAAATAGAAAATGACAAAAAGAAAAAAAAGGATAAAGACCAATCTCAGGCCCCAAGCCCACCCTGAACAAACCCAGAATTCAACATCATAGAAGCCACACAACTGGAATCTCTGAAATAATAGGAATTGAAGTAAAAATTCAACTGCAGAAGGGTATAGAAGAAAGCAAATCAGAAATAAACTCACAGGTAAAAAAAGAAATGATATTTATATTAAAAGAATTACTAAGTGTTTCTAAAGAAGACACTGAAAAAAACAATAGAGGAGAACAGGGAAATGATGGAAATCTTGAATGAGAAATCTAGGAAAGAAGTAAAATGCATGTAGCAGATTCGGTGAGATAGACAGGAAATGAAACCCCATTAAAATTTGGCAAACCACTTGAATGATAGATATTCAGACCTTGAAGACATCCCTGCAGCTAGTATAAAGGTAAGGAAAGATTCTTTAAAAACAACTAAGACCCAGGAAATAATTCAACAGCTGCAAGACAATGCAAAAATAAACAACGTAAAACTAATAGGCATCAATGAAAAAGAAGGAGGCAACATAAATGACATAAAAATAACTGAGGCAGAAGTAATAGCAGACGACTTCCCAAATATAGGGAAACAATCTGACACTTAGTTAACTGAGGCATATAGAACTGCAAATAATATCAAGCCCATTAAAACTACACCCAGACATATAATAACCAAGATCCCAGATATTCAACACAAGAACAACATATTAAGAGCTGCTAGAGAAAAATAAATAGGTCACCTTTAAAGAAAAAACATCAGAATAACAGCAGATTTCTTCTCACAAGCCATCAAGTCAAGAAGAGTATGGAGGGAAGTACTCCAAGAACTATAAGAAAAGAAATTCCAACCCAGACTGATATATCCTGCAAAATTATCTTCCAAGTTTAATGGAGAAGTGAAATACTTCCATGAAAAAGGACAACTAAAGAATTTCATAAGAAAAAGAAAAAAAAAAAAAGAACTTCATGAGGACCAAACCAATCTTATAAAGAGTACTGAAAGGTATTCTAGAAAGGTATCAAAATGCCCACAATTCCAAGAATGACAACAGGAAGAACCCATCAAACATGGCAAACTATTAGACATAGGAAAAATGTAAGAAACCAATAGCAGGAAAATAATATGACAAACATATGCCAATATATATAAATTATAACCACCAATGTAAACAAATTCAATTCACAAATTAAAAGAAACAGAGGGGCCAGTAAGATAGCTCAGCAGTCTAAAGCACCTGAATAGGCAAGCTTAGGCAAATGCTCAGGGACTACAGTTCATCCCTGGCACCACATGCCACACCAGCCCTGCCTCCAGGGTGGAGTGAGCCAGCCACATTAATTAATTAATTAATTAATATTAAAAGTAAAAAATAAAAAATAGTCTGGAAGAGTAGATAAGAAACGAAATTCAAAAATATACTGTATAAAGAAGCACATTTAACCCATAAAGAAATTTATAGACTGAAACTCAAAGGAGGGAGAAAAATACTTAATGTGTAAGGTGCTCAGAAGAAAAGCAGGGATAGCTTCGTTGTTCTCAGACAGTATGGACTTTAAACCAAGAAAGATCAAATGAGAAAAAGAAGGTCACTGGCTAGGGGAAAAATTCAAGAGGAAGAGAAAACAGTCATAAATATGTATGAACCAAATATGGGAACACACAAGTATATAATACAAATTTTAAAGTTTACTTATTTATGTATTCATTTATTTTGGTATTGTAGGCAAGTGTATACAGGGTGTTCAGGATCTCACTACTAGGTTGGACTCATAGTGATGTGCCAGTTTACAGTCCCCCAAGAGCTGTGATTACAGGCATGCACCACCATGCCCAGTCTAATTGATGTCTCAGCACACCCCAGGGGTGGGGATGACACCACAGGCCCAGGGAACAAATCCCCATCCCCTGTGCAGGGTTACAGGCTGTTTAACACACTGAGCTATTTGTCCAGCCTTTATAAGACAAATTTTGAAGGAAATGAAAAATCTAATAAGCAATATCACAATCTTAATAGCAGACCTTAACATACCCTTATCTCAAAAGGATAGATGAAGCAGACAAAAATTAGAAAATAAGTAGCAGAACTGAACCCAACTTTGGACAAATGAACTTAGTGGACATATACATGAGTGTTCCACCCAACAACACCTGAATGCATATTCTTTTCAGCTGCAAATGTGATGTTTTCTAAAATAGATCATGTACTAGTCTATAGATGATTCTTAAGGATATACAATTAAACAGAAATTATCCCATGCATATTATCAGACCACAGTGCAATGAAACTGGAAGTTAACAACAAAACAAACCATAAAAACCCTATAAACATTAAATAACACCCTCCACAGCAACCAATGGGTTATGGATTAAATTAAGCAATATCTACAATCCAATGAAAATTAACGCACAGCTACTGGAATTTGTGGGATGTAATGGAAGCAGTTCTCAGAAGGAAATTAATAGCAGTGAGCTCACATATTAGGAAAACAGAGTGAGCACAAGTAAATACCCTAATGGTGCACCTCAAGATCCTAGATAAAGAAGAGCAAACAAACCCAAAGCCCAAAGATGGGAGGAAATTATAAGTATTAGAGCACAAATTAATGCAAGTGAGTCAAACAGAACAATACAAAGAATTAATGAATCCAAAAGTTTGTTCTTTGAAAGAATAAATAAAAATGATAAACCCTTACCCAACTTCCTGAAAAAGAGGAAAGAAAAAGCTCAGATTCAAGCAATAGGTAATGAAAAGTAGGAAATTTCTGCAGGTCTTGTGGAACTTCAATAGATCATCAATAGCCATTTTGAAAATCTTTACTTTCACAAAATC